CGACTTCTTCGGTAGTCTTCAAAATGTTGACACGTGACCATCAAACAAACAGTAACTTGTTAATGGGAATACGCATTGCAAAGGCCGAAGAGTCTGATCCAGCTGTTTAGGTATGTGGTTACATTCCAGTAACGGCATCAACACCGAATCTCTAAATCGGCTGTCGGGACAGTTTTGTTAATTTTGATAGTCAAAGTTTTATTCTTTTAATCATCCGTTGCTTGCCTTGGAAGTAGAAAAGCTTACTTGCTATTGTATTTGCTTCCCAAAACGTCATTATTATCAAAGGGGACAACCAAAAATTATATTTTTTGCGTTAAGGTATGGAGTTCAAATCAGCACGCAGCATCCGAGCATAGGACGATTGATTTCGCGAATGCGTCGGCAGCAGTAAATTGGGAAAAGATGGCCGTAATTGAGCACCGGTATCAAACGCTGAGAAATTTGATTGGTAATGTTTTACCGTCCGTCTCCAGATTTAAGACACGTGGGAAATAAGTTAATTCATTTAGATCCTCGTTCAAATTCGTGATAATAGATATAACCAGAACATCTATAATGACAAACAGAAGTTGACGAGTTTTTCAGTGCCTTCTTTTCTTTTGAACGTAAATTTATAAATATCCAGTAAAGTCATTTTCCATGAATTCTGACTTGCCCATACCAACCGATATTTCATTTGAAATTAATTAAAAAAAATTATTTAAATGATTTGAACAGGCATGGAAATAGTGCATTTTGATCTCCTAGACCATAATCCGATCCGTGAATACGAATTCTTCGTGCAAATGTTCGGCAGCACCGATCATGTTCAGGTAATATAAATTTTGGGCAACTTCAAAGGTTGTAAATCTCTTATATACTCATTTATTGCGTTTTTCTGTAGAAACACTAACATTTAGAGCCTATGTTTATTATAGGAAGTCAAAAGTTAAAACCCTTCAGTAACCATTCTCTACAAAAAGCAAAAATTAGTCCTATTAATAGCAGGCATCGGCGGCAAGGCTGCCAATATCTTTTCCTCTCTCTCGAGGGTTGCTGAAAGCAAGCTGAAGGCGGGTTTGACTGCATCACACAAGCCCATACCAGTTCAGCCGTGAAGTCAAGACTGAACGACTGGTGCGGTTGTTCCTGTAGTAGAACCAAACGATAAGCCGTCTGTACTAGAAAGTATCCATATTGCTAGTGTTATTGGCATGCTCCCACGCGATTATTCCAGGTGTTTCGATCTTGGGCTGGATAATTTCAGTTAGTACCTGCTGCCTGTATGATGTATGTGTGCAATGTTGTCGGAGGCACCTCATGAGGCTGTTTACATCTTCTCGCAGGCACCAGTCACTGATGATGAATGACGTCTATGGCTTTGGGCAGAGCGAATAAAATTTTACTTCCCTGGATTTTACAGAATTTTACTTGAGTTTTAGTTGTTTGCTTGGTCTCAAAGCTTGTCGTTGTTTCGAACAGCTGTGAAAAACAGCAGTCCATTACTAATTCTTGATGCAAAATTGCAACATAAGCTTTTTATGCGTTTTTGCATATATGCAAATGCGAGAACGCATATTGTGACGATCCCGGTGTGTGTGTGTGTCTGTCCGGGTATTTCAACTCGGCACCCAAGCAAGCCCCGGCGCCGAAATTTTGCGAGTGAGTTCCCCGGCCAAGTGCCACTCCAGGACCGCAGTACCAATCCTCACGCACATCTAAGCCCCGCGTACGAGCGTTTCAAAGTTTTGGCGAGAAAATCGCTGACTTGGGGACCAGAAAAGCTGGAAAGATGAAATTTTGAGATTATGTTCCTGCCCATATAGAACTTAAAGATTTTAAATTCAGCCCCCAGGTGTGCGCATTTCTCGCGTTCGGCCCTGTGAGGGTTTCTGGTGCGAAAATCGCTAGCTCGGGGACCAAGAAAGCTGAAGGCTGAAACTTTCAGCGAATGTTCCCAATTCATCTACAATTTAAATTTACCAAATTCAGTCTCCCGTTGTGCATGGTTGTTACGTACGGTCCCGTGAAAATTTTTGGCGGAGAAATGGCCAACTCCGGAACCAAGGGGAAGCTGGGAGGCTGAAACTTTCAGGAAATGTCATCTACAACTTAAGTTTATCAAATTCGGCCCCCCGTTATGCGTGGTTGCCACGTACGGCTCCTTGAAATTTTCTGGCTGGAATTTGAGTAACTTGAGAACTGGGAAAGCTGGGAACCTGTGATTTCAAGGCACTGTTCACTGTCCATGTATAGCGTGGACAATTAACTTCCCGAAATTCGAGAGCCAGTATATCACAGGTTTCTAGCTAGCGAAATTTCGAGTGATCTTATTACAGCACGAAACACAGCAAAAATACATGATCGCACAGGCCCGCCCAGTGCGCGTCGCCAATGATTTAGCTTTTTTCGAACTGCTAGAGATCCTTGTTTAATTACCCAAAGTACAGGTACAAACGCAGACGGGTGATGATAATATGGAATGCTACTGTCAAACGGATGGGCCGGAACGGGAAACCATTTGGACCCAAATCCCATATTCAGGTTTGTATGCCGGAGTTAAAAATCATTAAGCAAATTTATTTACAAAGCTAAGAGAAGACCTGGAAGATGAAAGAGGAGCTAGTTTACTTAATATTTCATTTGCTATAATTTTAACTTGCTAGTCAATAAGATCGTTCAAATAATCGGTGTGGACACCTCTTCTTACTGAGATGCAGCTATAATCCAAAACTTTCGTCTTGACTTGCTTGTTCATGTTTGTTACTCGCCGTTTTGGCTCTTCCAGCCATCACCAAATTCCACTGAATGTTAGCTTTTGTGATTATTCAATTTACCGCAACTGTTGCGAAAGACCTCTCTTGCAAAGTTACGTTTAGATCGTCAAATTGCTGAACTCCTCACCTTAGCTGTTTCGAAGCCTTCGAAATATTTTAACTATTATGCCCACGGCTGCTTCATTGTAAGCAGATTTTTCTTTTTATTGGGCACAAAAAACTCATATCCTTTATAATGTGATAGTTGCTGATTTTTTGACGAAACTTTGCGACAGGACTTTTCATTGCTAGCTCGGGGAAACTCAAAAATTTTCATTTCTCACGGGTCTTTCCAACCTGACTTTGCTAATATGCTTTCTTTAGTGTTACTTTTAACATCTCAAGTTAGTGTTCTCATGTTTATTCATTAGGTGGCTCTTAGAAATATCGAAAATACTGCAGGCGTTGCAGAACTGCTAAAATTTTTTCCATAGATAATGCATTTATTTCAGAATTTTCTGAAAGATTTAAGAAATTCAGATACACAAGGCTGGGGCACTGTGTCTACAGTGGATGCCAGCAGCTATCAGCACCTAAATGTCGAAGACCCAGAACTAAAACATTACAAAACCAGCTATTTTCACAAGGAGAGATTCCGCAGATTCATTTCAACTGCTGGACAGGTGTATTTCTATACATATTCAAGACTGCCTGTAATTTATATACTGGTTAATTGGAATCCCAAAGATGCTTTAGGCCTTGAAGATTCTGTAAATTTGTAACTTATTTTTTATCCTCATTTTTATGCGTTTTTGCTGTGCAGCGCTATAGCGCTGCTACAGCCAGCAAAAACGCATATTG